TAGCTGTTTCCATTTCAGCATCTGCAAAATGAGAATAGTGCTAGCAAGGACACAGGGTTGCTGTGAGGGTTACAAGAGTCAACACATGTAAAGTGCCGTGAGCAGTGCTTGGCAGTAGTAAAGTAGAAGTGTAGCTCTTATTATTGGGTATGACTTAGCCTTTCTCCGTATTCAGTCATTAGTATTTCTTTATTCCAACTTTGATTTTATAGGAAGACTTCAATGAGGATGTTCCTGCCTGGCTTGTCTTACATCCAGCCGGGAGTTAGTAGTCCTGTGGAAAGGAACCCTTCATTCAGTTCTTGGAACAAGCCCTTTCAGGCCTGTTTTAGCAGTGAGCTCCAGTGACCCTGGCTAGAGTGTGTTCTGTACAGTTTCCACATTTATCAAAGAGAAGCCTGTGGTTTGCTTCTTAGAACTCTAAATTCCTGAACCCAAAGTGCTCTTTTGGCCTTTTCCTGCACCATTGGAGAAAGACCAGAGAGTTGTTGCATTGAGTGTTCTTGTCTTGAACTGATTTTACGACATCTTCTTTGATCAGTGTGGAAACCAGTACAGGAAGACACTCTCGGGTTTTCTCCACTCAGAGGCAGGTATCATCTGCTCTAATCATAGCTAGTGTCAGGTCTTCCTACCTTGTTGAAGCTGCACTGTGGTCATGTGTGTTTCTTACTGCCCACTGCAGACCTCTCTTTGTTTTAAGATACATTTTTAATTGTAGATGGGCACTGTTTCAGTCAGCTCTTTCACCTCTGTGACCAGAACCAGCTGTGGAGGAGGAATGTTTATTGGAGGGCTCATGGTTTCAGAGGTCTTAGTCCACAGAAGGCGGACTCCATTCCTTGGAGCTCCAGGAGAGGCAGCATCCTGGCAGGAGAGTGTGACTGAGGGAAGCAGCTCACATCATGATCAGAAAGCAGAGAGAGAGAGACTCCACTGTCCAGATACAAAACATATACCCCTTAGCCATGTGCCTGCTGAACCCCTTCCTCCAGCCACACCCACTTGCCCCAGTTACCACTCAGTTAATCCCATTAGCGATTCATTCACTGATTAGGTTAAAGCCATATTCCAGTCAGTTCTCCTCCAAACCTTTTTGCATGGTCTCACATGTGAGCTTTTGGAGGACACCACATCTAAACCATAACAGATGATACCTTTATTTTATTTATTTTTATGTGGTCATGAGGAAGGAACCCAGTGCCTCACGTGTTCTATCACTTGTGTTCGATCACTGAGCTACAACTGCAGCCCCCAGACCTCTTATTTTTTGGAGCTGTTTTCTGAAAGAACTTGTGTCCTTATTCATAGACTGTTTGAAGCAAAATCCAATCAAGGTTTTTAAACAAATATTACATGTCTTCACACAATTAACTTAAGCATCCTTTTCTTCTGCTTAGCTCTCATTCTGATATGTTTGATAATTAAATTTCCCCAGTTCATGCAATGAAAGGTGAGGTAGCACTCTTGACCTCTGTAGGGTGGTCAAACCTGAAGCCTGGGGCAGAAATGTCGGTTTGAAGGATGAAACCAGTCAGTTCAGGTTTTCAGTAGGACCCAGTCCTGCCTTGTGTGTTTTCTAGTTCCTTATTTGTGTTGGTGATCATGCTCCTTTTTTGTATGGTTTTCAGGTGGAGTTGGCATGAACTTAACAGCAGCAGATACTGTTATTTTTTTTGACAGTGATTTTAATCCTCAAAATGACTTGCAGGCAGCTGCCAGAGCTCACCGAATTGGCCAGAACAAGTGAGTGAGTTAGACATTGGCACCTTTCTGCTCTGTTGGCTTGCAGCTGTGGATTGGGGAGGAAGGTGGACCGTGTAGTCCTGACAACAATGCCACGTTGGAGTTAGAGACCACTGGGTTTGAACCCCGTTGTGCTGCTGGCTTGTAGAGCAATGTTGGGGGATCAGTGGTCCCATGATCAGTTCAGACTCACTTTGTTGAAAAGAACAGTTAAATTCCAAAATGATTAGAAGAAACTTGGAATTTATTTAGTTCATGTTTCTCACGTTAGATCCTAATTCAGTTTAAAAATGAAGTTAAAGCCAGTGGGTGCACATGCCTGTAATCATTATCAGCATGGGAGACTCAAGCAGGAAGATCAAGTTTAAAGCCAACCTTGCAACTTACCTAAACCCTGTCTCAAAACTTTTTTTTTT